GCTTTGTGCAGCCTTGATATATGTATATAAACTGAAACAACTGGACTAAATTTAACATAAATTACTTATTTTAATACAGTATAGTACAATTTTTGGGAGGTCACCTTTTAAATAAATGTCCTTACAGAAAATCTAACTGCTCATTTTAAATATATACTTTTACTTTTAATACTTAAGTACGAAATATATTAGATACTTTAAGACTTTTTCTCAAGTAATATTCCTAAAGGAGACTTTTACTTTTATTAAAGTAATTTTTTGGTAAGATACTTTAAGACTTTTACTCAAGTAATATTCCTAAAGGAGACTTTAACTTTTACTAAAGTAATTTTTTGGTAAGATACTTGTACTTTTACTCAAGTATCACTTTGTGGTACTTTATACAACACTGCGCCAATGGTTCCTGAAGATGGACGTGGGAAAGCAGAAGAGAAAATGAACAACTAGCAATGTTCAAATATTGTGCTTGTGATTAATGTTTAACACGAGACCTCCGTTCCCCCCCTTCCCTTACGCAGTATCGTTTCTATGTAACTAGGGGCGTGTAAACTAAATAAAAGAGGCTTGAGCTGCAGGAGGTCTCTAAGAGCGTTGGGTTGGAGGTACTGAGCTGACTTCCTGTCCTGCGTTCTCCTCACTCTGGTCAAAAGCTGAATTTGACTGTTTCTTTCTCTCTTGTTTGTATTTGTAAATGTTCTAGGTAAATTTATACCTGACACACCCCAATCTTTGACCAGGTGGTTGGACATATGCAGGACTCAGGTTTCTTCATTTGTTTGACTCCTTTCAGCTTCTCTATAGATTACATGAAATCCACAGTTGTCAACGTGTCTTCTACGGCCTCCTGYGAGAACACACACTCACAGGATCAAAACTGAAGCACGAAATAAACTTTYAGACAAAATTAAATACTGCACCATATGCAACTTCAAGTTAAAAGTGGGAAAAAAAGCAAAATATCTATTAAAAGTTAGTGTTTTGGTTTGTATGTAACGCACCAGCCCAGCAAGTGTCTTATGACAATATCTTCAGGTTCTCTGGAAGGACATAAAACAAAATTACAGCAACACGTTTTTATCTAAAATGACGTGTTGTGCAGCTGTGATGGATTGTGTACAAACTAATATGGTGTCAAAATGTTATATTTATATGTCTCATTCAACCACAGTTACATTCAGTCTATCCAGGAGGCAGTTTATCTTTACACTATTTCTATTAATAACAAGTCAAATGAAAACAACCAAAAATAAACTAAAAGTAATGATTTTATACTTCTTGCACTTTTTAAAAATGTAAGGAGTAGAAAGTACAGATAATTGTGTGAAAATGTAAGGAGTAGAAGTGAAAAGTAGGCTGAAAAATAATTACTCAAGTAAAGTACACAAAATTTCTACTTAAGTACTGTAACAAAGTATTTGTACTTAGTTACTTTACAACTCTGGATTTAAAGGAAATAGAGAAAAAAAATCAGAAATCACAAATTATGAAAACGAATATTTGTTTTGCTGAGTTGTCACAATAGAAAAATTACTTTTTATATTTTAGCTTTAATTCTGAACACTGATAGTTTATGTTAGACCAAACATTTTTATGTATTTAGAGAACATATTCATGCAATGCATTATTAGACAAAGAGAAAACATTTTGAGAGTTTTTTCATGTATATTTCCTCTCCAATGTTTGTAGCATTTCTTAAAACCATTTCTTGTCTAAATAAAATATAAGAACGTCCATTTAAGCTGCTGCCGTTGTGAGACCTTCTGCTTTTCTGAGGTAACATGCTGCTTCTCAACCAAAGATTTCTAGTTAAAGTTCTGATTTTAGAATAGGCCTGCTTKCACTGCCTAGACTATGGCATAAAGTGAACAAATATATATTTAGGTTCTAGAGTTTAAGTCTTTAATTGGTGCTCCACAAATTACAAATTTAAATGACAACCTAGCAGCTGTTGGACAAGAGTGATAAAAGTAAATAGATAAATGGACATATTTGAAGACAAAAGAAGAAATAATTCAGGTAGGGTCATTTAATTGGAGGAACTTTCAAGAAGGCACAATCAAAAGCTTTTTTGTGAATACAATATGATAAAAAAGAAAGAATCACACATAAATTTCTCTTTCACACACATACACATGAAGACACAACAAGTGTAGCACGCACCACATTTTCACCTGCGGCTGAGATCTGGAGCCAAAAACAAGCGACCGAAAGGATTTTAAAGCCCTGACAACACGTGAAGACATCAGGCCTTCCAGTGTCACGTGGAGGATTCCGATCAGCAGTAAACACAAATCAAAAACTGTGGGAAGTGTGAATCCACAGAAACAAAACAGCTTTTTTTTCTGCTCTGTGTCTTCATACTCATGTCTCAATAATCCTGGAAGACGTCAGTCAAACATCAAAAAGTTGAACAGTAACACGGAAAAAGTCAAATGAATGGGGTTTAAGGTGTTCGTTCACACAGGAGTGCTTTCATACCCTTCAAAATAAAATAAAACAAGGACTTGATGAACAAGGAGGTAAAAAAAGTTGCTGCCATCACAGTCCTCTAGTTAAAGTTTTTCTACCTAATTTATCTTTTACATCCCTAGACCCGCCCCCCCTTTCTCTCCTTCGTCTTGACCTCTTTTGATCATCAGATTAGTCCACAACATAAAAGAAGCTAAACCCCTCCCCCTCCCGTTTCTACCCCATTTTCCTATCCCCCCCAGTTCCGTCATAGTTCATCATGACTCGCAGCTTCGTCTGCCTTGAGTTTGAACTCTGCCTCGGTGATGATTCCGTCTCCGTTGCGGTCCTGATTGGAGAACATGTTGTCGATGATGCGGTAGGGGTCGAAGCCGGGAGCCAGGCGGCCTTTACCCTCCTTTACCTGCTGTATGATGTAGTCGGTAAACTGCGGAGGGAAGGAAAGAGGGTGAATGGAAAACAACAAAAAATAAATTAAATAAAGACGATGACGGCACACGATCACCTACCTCTGACGGCTCCACCTGATTGTTCTTGTCTTTATCCATCTCTGCAAAAAGGTCCGGCGACACCTCCTCGTTCCAGATGAACATGTAGCCTTCGGGGAGTCCCTCCTCCATCTCCACCATCTCAACGTCAAAAACCATCACAGCACTTCCTGGAACTTCATCAGCTGCACACACACAAACGCACAGCTGACCTGCTTAACAGATCTTTGATGCCACTGGGTTTGGAGAATGTTTTTGCTGCTGCCAGGATCGTGGCACACTTTCACAGAAAAGCTCAGTTTGCAGTGAAGGAAAGCATGCTGAGTTTTGAGGTAAATTCTTTATTACATAAGAGGTGGAAGAGGAGTATTGTGGATCAGGAAAAGAGTGTATGATTCTCTAGTAAGCCAATCTAGGAAAGGGAGGAGTTTGATCGGAACAATCTGGTCTGTCAAGAAACCTGGCTGTGCCAATCATTACAAGGGTTGGAAACAGGCCGACGGAGCCCACCTTTGACCTCCAACAGAGAGGAGGACGTGACAGAAAGAGAGGCCATAAGAGAGACCGGGATGCAGGAATAATGGGCCAGAGAGAAGAGAAACGCAGGAAGAAGAAATTGAAGGAGTAATAAGGAGTAATAAGTATTAATTTTGATTGATTTTTATGCTGGCAAATAAATAACAAGTGTGATAATTATATGCTAATTGCAAAGTGTGATTTGACTAATGTAATGTGATAATTAATGTGTTTTAATGTAAGATGGTGATTTAGAAGAGTGCTGCTGTATGTCTTAAAATGAAGAAGGGGGTGTGTGCTACATTTAGACCAGGGGTGGGCAATCCTGGTCCTCGAGGGCCACAGCCCTGCATGTTTTATTTTTTTCTCTGCTCAAACACACCTGATTTGATGAATGGGCGATTATCAGGCTTCTGCTGTATGGAGGACCGAAACTGACATAATTAAAAATAAAAGCGGAAATATATAAACTGACTAATAAATAAATATACTTAAAGTGCACCAATATAATTCAAAAAGGAGAATTTTATTTAAAGTATATATATAAATATGTATACATAT